GACCATCTCTGCAGTTGGAAAGTTGGTTTCAGCTATGGCTGTGTGGTGTAGTGCGTGGGGCTGGAAGGTGTGGAGAGTGGCAGAGAGAGAAAGAGAGAGAACAAAAGGCAAAAAGACACCGAACATCAGGTCTCTTGGTAAGTGGAGAACATGAAGTCACTCTCTGGACTGAGCCTCTGAATGCTGTTTAAATGGCAGCAGTTCTGTCTGGTGACTGAGTGAGACGGTGTCATAAGTGGTGGCCATGCATGTGGGATTCTGAGGCCACATGGTCACAGGCGGTCCAAAACAGAAGATGCTGAGCTTTGTCCATATGGTGAGCCCACCAGCGGCCACAAAAATATGAAACAGATAATATGAAAAAGTTCAGACGCATAAAAATCAGCTTAGCATCTCAAACGTACCGCTAAAGAATTTCTAACATTTCATGTTGCCAGTGTGATATTTTTATACCATCAGTTCTTAGTAGTTAAAGTTTGAAGGATGCTTGAATGACCCTTGATGGAATTTTAAGGTAATTTATGAAATACAATCTAATTATTTGGTAAAACTGAGCAAAACAGTCACCAGTAGTTCATACTGGAGGTTAATCAACTTTGTCTTTACATATTTGAATCTATTTTTCATGCCGGATTCTCACTGTCCTCCAGCACTCACACTGAAATGTTATCTGGGTTGTCTGGACAAGGCACAGACACCCAAACAGACTGTCCAGATCAGTGTGGCAGCATGACCACTATGAATATAGGTAAGAATGACCTAAATAAATAGTATGTGTGAATAATGTACAAGCCTATAATGGCAAAATATTAAGCCTTGATTTGTCTAAACAACAAATCATTTCTCAGTAAATGAACAAGGTAAATTAATATGATGAGTTTTTCCCTTTGATTTCTTTAGATGTTGAAGTTTTGTGTATTAATTTGCAGCCTTTTACAGTAAGAAGAGTCAGTATTGTTCTAGTCAGCACTGATGGCTTCAGTTGAAAAACGCTGCTGATCTAGTTTGTGCGTTTGAGTTTGTTCGGGTCGTCTTTGCACCATAGTAAGTTTTGTTTGAAGATCTGAAACAATGTGTGACAAAAATGAAAAATAGAAGAAATCAGTAAGGGGCAAACACTTTTTCACATCCTGTACATGTGCTTATGGCGATCATGGACTTAATTTTCATGGCCATCCTTTCTGATAGGCATTAATCTGAACAGTTCTGCCCTTTATTCACTGTTGTTTGTCCTCATAGTTCATTATTGAATATGCATTATGAGTCTTCCTGTTTATTCTTTTTACTATAACTTAACTCTTAATGCTTTGATTGTATAACTGCCCAGTGTCATCCAGGGGAGGACGAGTTCCTCAAGGTTCTGTGAAGGTTAATGAGTTTTTCCTTGCCACTCCTGTCTTTGTCTTGCTCATGTGAGGCTTGGACCCAGATTTCTGTAAGCAGCTGTTGTAAAAAGCGCCATAGAAAAATAAGCATTAGGCTCAATCACAGCTTTAAGAGAGTAAAGAGAATCATGTCTCAAGACTGTGTTTATTTTGCCTTTTAATACACTCAAAACACTGGAACACTTGAAAAGATGTTATTTGTTGTTATTTTTTGTCTTTAAAAATAAACAGAGCTCACAGTCAGGAATAACAGCAACAGTGTGGAATGACAAGTACATACACAGATAAGCATCAACAGCAGTGTTTACAAAAAAAAAGTAACATGCTTCACTGTGTGTGGGTGTTGGTGTGTGCTTGTGCGAGGGAGCCAGACAGGAAGGCGGAAGCCTCAAACTAGGGCAGCAAAAATGAATAATTTTCTTCATCCCCTGGATGGCGCTGCAGAAAAGTAACAATAGCCATAAATTAATTAGAGAATGATAACGTACTGTTATATATCGCTGTTGTCCGAACAAAACCTTGTATCTCCATTTTTCAGTTTTTGACAGGATTTGAAAGTGCCTGTTACTCTTCTCATTGTGTGCAAATTTCATGAAGAATGGAAACAGAAGCAGCTCAAAATGACTTGGAAAAATGTCTGGTTCCATTGACTCACATTAAAAGTAAAGGGTGTTTTTTTTTCTTCTCCTGCAAAGTTTCCATTTTGGAGATACAAGGTTTTCTTCCGACAACAACGATTATACATACATACATACATCATCTAAACCACTTTTCCTACTGGGTCGCGGTGGGGTGCTGGAGCCTATCCCAGCTGTCATTGGGCAGAAGGCAGAATACACCCTGGACAGGTTGCCAGTCCATCGCAGGGTGGACAGACAGACACATTTACACCTAGGGGCAATTTACCGTGTCCAATTAGCTTAACTGCATGTTTTTTTGGACTGTGGGAGGAAACCGGAGTACCCGGAGGAAACCCACGCAGACATGGGGAGAACATACAAACTCCACATAGAAATGGGAATCGACCCCAAGCCATTCTCGCTGTGAGGCCCCAACGATTTAAAAAAAAGAAAATATATATATATATATATATATATACATATATTGGAAAGTGTTACAGATAAATGGATGCATGAAATTTTAGGGGCAAATCTACAACGTAAAATTCATTCACTGGAAAACAAGCCCAACTTGAGTCCGATGCTGTGCATGAAAACCCCCGATTTTGTTTGGCCTTTTTTTAGTAATTAAATAACAATAACAGCTATATATATACACTCCTAGGAAGGTTCACCACTGTTCCAGGTTTTGTCCATTTGTGGATAATGGTTCTCACTGTGGTCCGCTGGAGTCCCAGAGCCTTAGCGTTGGCTTTGTAACCTGTAAGAGGAATCTTCTTTAAATAATCAGCCTGAGACCACCGATGTCTTTGAAGCTTTTATTCTTGCAGCAAGGGAGCAGGTACACACAGAGTCAAGTCTAGAATGTAATGCTCAAAGTACTTGAGGTCCTGCCTTGTCTTATACCTACAGTGATGTACGTTCCACCCCTAGGCAGTCTGGGCCGCAGCCAACTTTAGTTATTCTTATCCATACATCCTGTTTGATCAAGCTAACCCAGAAGGGTCATGTCCTGCTTTTTGTACAACAGTAGCACTTTGTCTGACCTCGGGTGCATGCAGAGAGCTTCTCTCAAACATAACCATATATGATAATTCAGTCATTAGCATAGAGTGTAATACTGATTTTTCTGACATAACCCTTTCCAGACTGGTAGATTTCAGTGTATTTGTTTCACATCTGTATTTGAATCTGAAATAGAACGTGGCATCATGTGCTGCTTTTTGAGACCTTGTAGTCTGATTTTTTTTTAGATTCAACAGGTCTGGCAGTAATCATGCCTGGGTGTGGATAGTGAAACAGATCCCAGTTCCATTGATTTGGTTAACTGGTTGATTGAGTAGCTAAGGGGGCAATTACTTTTTCAAGTAGGGCTGAACAGCATTTCTCCTTCAATAAATGAAATCATCATTTAAGAACAGCATTTTGTGTTTACTTAGGTTTTCTTTGTCTACCGTTAAAATTAGTTTGATGATCTGAAACATTCAAGTGTGACAAATATGCAAAAATAGAAGAGATTAGGAAGGAAGCAAATACTTTTCCACAGCACTGTACCCTTTCACCTCAAATTTAAAACCATTCACAAATCATTAAACCATGTGTTGTGTTAAGGGTCAACATGACTCATCACTATGTTTAACAGCAGAAAAAAACCCTGAATGATCTTTGTTCAACTTGAAACTTGATGACTTTTCCTAGAATGACCACAACATTAGAAACACAGCCTCTGTTCATATTTGCATTAAAACTGTACATCACCTGGGCACAGAGAGTGTCTTAAGGGTCAATAAGGAAATAATTTACACACCACAAAAACCACAAAGACACACACACACACACACACACAATGAGCAATTGAGATTGTGTGTTACTGATTGAACCCAGACAAAACTAACACGTAGTGGGCCTATATAGTTGCGGAGAGTGGAAGAGCAGTCTTCACTTAGGACAGCATTTTTCCTTCAATAAATGAAATCAAATCTTATCTTTGTCTAATATTAAAAGGAGTTTACAGTTGTATAGTGTAGAGGGTAACACCTCTGCCTGGGGTTCAATCCCCGCCTGGGTGAGCACCCTACACTATACCAATAAGAGTCCTTGGGCAAGACTCCTACATTCAACATTCAACATTCAAGTGTGACAAATATGCAAGAATAGAAGAGATTAGGAAGGGGGCAAATACTTTTCCACAGCACTGTACCCTTTCACCTCAAATTTACAAACCATTTATAAATCATTAAACCATGTGTTGTGTTAAGGGTCAAAATGACTCACCACTATGTTAAAATGATCTTTTTTCATCTTAAAACTTGGTGACTTTTTCTAGACTGATGCATTTACATTAGACAAAGTGAAGCCTTTGTTCATATTTCCATGAAAGTACATCACCAGGACACAGAGAGTGTCTTAAGAGTCATTAAGAAAATCATTTACGCATCATTAAAAACCACACAGATACACGCAGACACACACACACACACACACACACACACAATGAGCAACTGACCTGTGGGCCTATATAGTTACAGAGAGTGGAGGAGCAGTCTTCAGTGCCACGATGCCACTGATTAAATGCAGTATTTCTGCTCTGTAAAGAGGGAAAACCCAGATATTCACATGGTTTTGATGAATGTCAGGTTGTTTCTTCATGCAAAATAGACTTTGAGGTTTAAAATTCAATGAAGCTGCTTCATTTTAGGTTTTTAGTTGAAGGCTGATCATTTTTGACCCTTAGGACAAGGGCAGTATACAAAACATTAAGACTACAAAAGAGTTAAGCAAACTTATCATCTGTGTGTTTCATAAATGAAGCTCTGAAAAGCTCCTCTGACACAACATAATTTGTAGAAAGTGGAGCAACAGAAACAGACCAGCAACTTTCAGTTTCGATTCACATAAACCGTGAATGTAGGCAGGACTGAACAACTCCTCCCATCAGTGCTTCCTCCAGACTGAATCTCAATATTCAGCAGCTCAAAAATGAAGTGGAATAAGGGGAGCCTGTACGCTGAAACACACACCCTTCACACAATAACATTTGTGGGAGGTTCTGAAAAGCCTCCAAGCAGCTACACCCCATTAGATCGATTTGTATCTAACCAGCTTCGCTTTCATCACGTTAAACCTCTCAGATTAAGCAATGAGACTACAAATAGCACTATCACTCATCTGCGTGCTTTTTCCAAAAGGTATGGAACTCAACTTACAGAGCATTTTAGAACATTTTGGATTTCCGTTGAATCTGTTTAGCTTCTGTAGAATATAGTTTAACCCACCTGTTATGAGTGTCTTGTTAAAGAATCCTTACATTTGACATTTTCAATGTAATATCGTTTGTTGAGTTGTTGAAGTTTAACGTTTGAGGATATGAGTGAAAGATGTTGGATTGTCTTTTTTTGCTGAACTGTTGTTTTTCATGCTCGACTTCACTGTCCTGTAGCGCTGACACTGAAGTGTTATCAGTATAAACCAGGGCTGCCTGGAACATGCACAACCACCCAGACGGACTGTCCAGATCAGTGTACCACTGGGACCATTGTTGTGAACACTGGTAAGAATGGCTTCAGCACAAAATGGTGAGACTCAGTCAGAAATGTCTCCGTTTCACTCATGTGCTGTGTTCACTAGGTGGTCAACAACAAGAGATGAGTAAGAAAACCTGTGCAGTAGCAGCAGAGTGTGTCACTGGGAGCGTCAACCTGGGAGTTCTGAAAACATCTGTCAACTTAAAATGCTGCAGCACTGACCTCTGCAACAGCCAGAAAGTGGAAGGTAAATCCAAAAGCTTTAAATACTGAATAATGAATGCTGCACATAAAGTTCCCTCAACTGCAGAAACGCAGAAACTGTCCTGTTAAACCTCTTCTTTTCACTCGTTTTCCTGTTAAGCTTTGCCCCAAGGGTCTCCGAATGACAATAAGTGTTACACCTGTGTTGCCGATGACTGCACAGGAACTGTGAGCTGTGAGGGAGATGAAGATCACTGCATCAGCACCACAGGTAAAAACTGCATCCTTGTTTGTATTTCTGGAATGTTGTTTTATGACATTTGTGTGAGTTTAAGTACCACTGTTTTACAACCACTGTTTATCTATTCGAATTACACAGAGCATTTTTGTTACTGTCTTTAAGACTGAAATATCACTGCTGTTGGAGTGAAATCTCAAAAATGGAAACTTTTCAGGATGTAGAAAATGTCTCATTTTGGACCATTGGAGTTGAATATATCTTGTTGTTGTCAGAAGAAAACCTTGTATCTCCAAAAATAATGACTTTACAGGAGAAGGAAAAAACCTACGTTACTTTGAATGTAAGTCAATGGAACCAGAATTTTTCTAAGTGTTTTTGGGCCGTTTCTTTCGGTCCATTCATCATGAAATTTACACACAATGTAAAAGGTAATAGGCATTTTCAAATGATGACATAAACTGAAAAACGACAAAAATGGAGATGCGAGGTTTTCTTCCGACAGCAGCTTCTCGTTTGAATGTTCCAGTTCAGAATGTAACTGCTACACCATTTAAGGTGGAACGGCAAAATTCAACCAAGAAGCTGGAGAATGTCTTGAGGAAATGTCCTCAGAAAAATGTTACCAGCATTAAAATAATAATTAGGATATTCTGACAGCATAAATCAGTTTTTCAGGGGGTCATCTACCCTCACAGCTCACAGTTCCTGTGCAGTCATCGGCAGCACAGTCTGTACATGGATATACACTGTCACACTGCCAAAGCCTCCTTAAGGAGCTGCCAGTCTAATGACGTGTATTCCGTGTCCAGAAGCTTTACTTTACATGTTGCAATCTTCATATTTCAACTCTTCAACGACCTTGTAATTCGGAGGATCCAGTGGAATTCGAGAGAAAAACGTGCACAGAACAAAATGTATCAGGTTCTGAACATTTTTATCTACCACAGGGGGCGACAGAGGCGATTTTTCGAAAACCCTATTCATTCCAGCCATAGAGAAATCAAGCTTGGACCTAGAGTTCCTTATATGGGCATAAGAGCATGGCGCCGACTCCAAAATGACCACACGACTACAGTGGTCTCTTCTAATAATGTCAGGGTCATTGGGTGGAGTTAAACTGCTGTGGGCTAAAGAGCCAGATTTATATGCATGTTTCTTTATGGCATCATGAAAAAAGCTCATTTAAAGTTGTCTGTTCTAACAGTGTAGTCAGTTGTATGAAGTGAGGACTGAATAGTATGTTTTCAAACTTTAACAGTGTTTATGTACCACATCAAAGTCTTTCATATGTATGTCCATGACATGGGCGCTTTACAGTGAAAACAAAGGAACAAAAAAATGAGGGGAAAATGTCAAAAGCAAATGTCAAAGCACCTTTAAGCTACGTTCACATTACAAGCCTCATTGCTCAAATCCGATTTTTTGCGTGAGATGTGTTGCTTTTCCACCGTTTACAGGCTTTAACATTTGCTCGGTGCTGCTGCCATTGTAACGCTGAACGATGGCGCACATGCAGTGGAAAAAAAAAAGCACCTGAATTCCGCGTCACATTATGGTCGCATGGCCACAAATCGGATACGTGTCTGATCTAGGACCACGTATGAGCGTGGCTCAGGTCGGATTTGAAAAGATCAGATTTGCGTGTCCACACAGCTCTGAAAACATCAGATCTGAGTCACATTAGGGCAAAAAATCTGATTTGTGCCACTTAAACCTGGTAATGTGAACGTAGCCTTAGTCTGATTTAGACTTCATGTATTCATCTCTCTCTCTGATCTACACCTGCATTCACAGTAACCGCTGGTGATACTAAAAAGATGATGAAAGGCTGTGCGAGCAGGAGTCTCTGTACTGCTGGTGTATCAACGCTGCAGGCAGCTGGAGTCACTGGAAGTTTGAGCTGCTGTGAGGGGAACCTGTGTAACAGTGCTGAGGGGGTTAAGCTGAGTCTCCTCATCATGCTGGTTCCTCTGATCTCCTCCATCCTCTTCATCTGAACTCTCCAGGCACTGTTTATACATTTTTTTTCTATATTTTGACACTAGCAGAGGTGTACATGTTACAATATGACTAAATGGAGAGTCTGAAGGTTCTTTATAATGATCTCTGTAAGCAAAATAACTTGTATTAACTCGTATATGTGGACAGTGAGTGATGCAGTCTGTTATTAATGAATGAATGAATGAATTCAAACTGTGGCCACAAAATGAAAAAATAAAATAAAATAAATAAATAAATAAAAAAAAAATAACAATGAAGTACCGAGAGCTTCGAAATGTTATGATCTGTTATGATCTATTTAAACACAAGGCATTCATTGTGATAATAATAAGTTAAATATATACAAAATCATCATTTAAAGGTTACTCTTCCTTTGTAGGTGTCTGTCCCAAACTGTAACCCCTAAATTTACACTTATGAAAATAATACTTATATTTTTTGTACTTTTTAATCATTTTTTATTTATTTATTTTTTTAAATTGAATTTGAAAGATGTAGATTTAACAGAAGTTTAATTTTTAAGTTAGGGTTAACTAAAAAAAAAAAGTCATGTCATTACCGAAAGCAGAGCCTTATTGTAGCCACACCCCCAAATTTTAGCTCAGGAACTGAAACTGCATCCCTGTCCCTCATGGCCACATGGTGAGCAGTTAGATTCCATTATTTTGAAGTAAATGTGTCCCAAAGTGTGGAATGTTAACTATTGTCATTACCGAAACGCACATTTTCTGCAATTAAGTAAACTTGTGTGTAAAAATGTGATGTTTTTATGTGTGTACAACTGTTAAAAGCTGTGTTTGTTAGTCACGTACTAGATAGCGTTTTTAAGTTCTGCTCAAAACTACTGAAACAGTCGCTACTAAAACATCTGGTAAAGTTTTGGTGTTATGATTGTTTTGGTAGTGACAGAACGGAATGTTCAGTCATTCATTTGTATAGAATAAATATAATTATGGTATCGAGTTACTCAAAGAAAAAGGATTTTAGTCTAAAGTCAGTTAAAGTCTAAAATGTTTTGAACTCTGAACCAATTCGGGAGAACAGTCCACTCTGCAGTTAACAAATGAACACATTTATCAATATATTAAATGACTATTAAATGATTAAAAAACAGACAAAATCAAATGATCTGGCAGGGAAATGTCCACAGATCTTTTTGCTAAGTAGACCATGAAGACAGCTAAAAACAACGTAAAGGATGTTTAAGTCACTCTTAAGTCACTCTGTTGAAGTCACTCTGGGGTTGGTTGGCACAGTATTCATTGCTGGTTCAGCAGGGGGAACTCAACGTGATTTGATTCGGACTCAAAGTGTCCAGGTCCCGGCCTCGCCTATAGTGGTCTTGACTGCAACGTTAAATGGCAGTTTAATTGACCCCACTTATCAACTAAATTCAGTTATTTGGTCGATTGACTCACTAAGTTTACTTTTCATACAGGGCCAGTTGGTCACAGGGATCAGTTTTGCTTTTCTTCAGTGAATGAAACGATCATTTAAAAACAGTATTTTGATTTTGCTCGTTATCTTTGTCTTATTTTAAGTTTTGACCTGAAACAATTGCCGTGTGCCAAATATGCAAAAATAGAAGGAAATATGAGGGAGCAAATACTTTTTCACAGCCCTATGTGTGACTTATGGCAGTCATGGACTAAATTCTCATTGTCGTCTTCTCTAGATAACCTCTGACAGGCATTAATCTAAACATTTCAGCTCTTCAGTCAATGTATGTGATATTTTTTCCATCATTCATTATCGAATATATACAGTGCAAAAATGGCTCGTCGGAACAACCAAAGAAACGACTTCATGTGGTAACAAGTAAATTATCTAGTCTATTCAACCCGAATAAACACTCTGAATCAACGATTCTTTCAATCAGTGTAATCTTTTGAGTTGAATAAAAGTTGCTTGTTTAAGTAGATTTGATGAGCCATTTTTGCAGTGTACATAATTAGTCTTCTTGCTTGTTTTTTTTGTTGTTGTTTTTTTTTTACTGTTTTACTGTTTGACTGTATTACTATCCAGTGTTGACTCGAGGAGGTGGTCTCTCAAAGTTTCTTTTTCTTGCTCCTACACTGTAAAAAGTCGTCAGATCTACTTAAAAATGACTTCATGTGGTAACAAGCAATTCAACTAGTTTTATTCAACCGAAAAATTACTTTCGTTCATTCGTTCATTCAAAATCTTTATTTAGGTTGAGTAAAACTAGTTTATTTACTTGTTACCACATTTTAAGTAGATTTGACGAGTCACTTTTTACAGCAGGGAGTTTTTCTTTTTACTTCTGCCTTTGTCTTGTTCATGTTTGGGTTGAGCCTAGATTTAAGTAAACAGCTGTTGTAAAAACCACCATACAAATCAATTTGAATTTGAATTTGAATTAGAGTGTATTGCAGCTTTAAGTCAATAAAGAGAATTATTATATGTCAAGACAGTGTGTATTGTGGCTTTTAGTGCACATACTCTATATAAGAAAAAGTTCGACTTCATTAGCACGAACAATAACAGTAATGATAGTGATAAATAAACTAGAGTATGATAAAAAATGTGTTGTAGTGATCTTTAATAATATTTTAATTAATAATATTTGCTTTAAAAATATTTATAAAAATAGTTTCTACACTACTACTACCACTAAGAATAATAATAATAATAATAATAATAATAATAATAATAATGAGATAAATACGTATTGTATGATAATTGTTCTTTAAGTATGTGCAGATTTATCTAGCATATACATTTATTTATATACAACTCCATTTTTTATTGTTTTTTGAAAAATATATGCCCATTTTGAATTTGATGCCAACAACACGGGGCATATAAAGAATACAGCATTCATAGTGTAGTGATATTTTAATAGAAACTGAACTGTGATTCATGCAGACGAGTGTGTCATCAGCAGCTTTATTGTTGGTAGATTTCAGAGTTTGATTGCTGTATATGTACACATGCAAGTACTCTTGTAAAAGCAGCCCTCAAACTGAGCTGGATCATGTTTTCTAGACTCAAATACTTAAAAGTTGACTGAAACAGAGCCTGGCCATCGCTGGTCTTAAAGAATCAAATGGGGTATAAAAGAGCATCCAAGAAAGGCCTAGTCCTTTATAAGCGTGGATGAGTCGGGGCTCACCACTTTGCCAAAAATGCACCTGCAAAAAAATCCAACAGTTTAAAAATAATGCGATTGAAAGGATTTTAGGTATTTCATGCTCAACTATGCACAATAAAATCAAGTTTAAGGGAATCTGGATAAATCTCTGTGCATAAAAGACAAGGCCGAACACCACAAATGAATGTCCATGATCTTCAACCCCTCAGACAGCACTGCGTTAAAATCCTGCCTGCTTCTTTGATGTATATCACCACATGGATTCAGGAATACATTGAAAAAATATTGTCAGCAAAAACCGTGCACCGCTGCCTCCACAAACGTACGACTGTACTACGCACAGTGGAAGTCATATGTCAGCAATGACCAGAAACACTGCCTGCTTCTCTGGGCTTGAGCTCATCCGACTGATGCACAGTGGAAACGTATTGTGGTTTGATGAGTCAACCTTTCAGATTATTTTTGGAATTAATGTACGTTTTATTCTCTGGACCAAAGAAGGACCATCCCATGGTATGGAGGTGTATTAGTGGGTAACCTGCATATCTATGAAAACACCGTTAGCGTTGGACGTTTTAGAGCAACATATGCTGCCTTTTAGGTGCTGTTTTTTCAGGGAAGTCCTTTTTCAAGCCACATTCTTCGCATGTTGCAACAGCACGGCTGAGTGTAGGTGCTGGAGCCATTTTTTTTATGAAAACCCATTCGTGCCAGCGAGAGGTGTGACTCCAGCATGACATAAAATCAATAAAAAACATGGCCGCCTTAAGCTAATCATTTATCTTTACTCAATAATAAGCAATAGAATGAATCACCTTTAAAATGATAACAATTTAGCTCACAGACACTCCAGACAAATTTCTGTAAAGATGTCTGGGCTGGCACTTGTTTTTAAGATATTTGTAATAAAAATGACAAACTTCAGGAGGCAATAAATACATTTTTTGATCAAAAATTGGTCAAAATGATAAATATATCAAAATGTATTTAGCGTTTAAATGTCAAATAATGACATATCTGAGTAGCCAAGGGTCTCCTGAAAATAACAATATATATACACATGTGTGACTGTCTCATGTAAACGCTTTATAATTGTAACTGTAATTGATTAAAATATCATAAACACATGATTGTACAGTTCTAAGAGTTAAAGTGTTTTAGTTATTTTAGTTGTTAGTTCTTTCTCAGAACCCAGTTTTGCATGTTTTTAAATGAACTGGCTGCTTCAGTTGCTCCTCACTGTTCTTTTGGACTTGTTTGGACATGCACCCTTGCTAAGTGAACTTGCTAGTTCACATAACGGAAATCAGGACTGTTTCCTGAGGATGTGCGCCAGAATGGGGTGGAGTTTGACGACTGTTGTTTAGGGGGACGCTGAGTTCTTACTTTCATTTCCTCAGAACTCATGGTAACTTTCTTTTTCTGCAGTTCATAAGCCTGTGGTCTATTTTCAAGTGCACTTCCTCTCACACACAGACTAGAACATGTACAGGAGTGCAGGTTCATTCTGCAGTCCTCTTTTTTTCCATCCACTGTTTTGTAAAGCTATATATTTGGGCTCTAAATCAGTTTAGAGGAAACATTAGAGATTAGACCAGAGCAACACTTGAAGAATATAGAAAAACTTTGCATTTCTTTGTAAAAACTGATATTTTAGAGAGAAAAATCCTATAGTTGTGTTGGAGGTAGGGGTTGGATTGAGGGTATGGTGACTAATTAGAGAACATATTGCAAGTCTGATCTGTACAGGGATTGTTTCAAATTGAAAATATTTTATAAATCATTAGTCCATCAAAACTGGCTACTGCACAGGTTATACATGACTGTGTTATGGAATTTGTACCTAATAGGCCTTATTTCCCTACACTCTGTGACTCTCACTCAAGATAAGCAATATTTATTTTAAATGACTGCAAATACCTTCTCAGTGCCCATATTTACTTTAAGCAGAATCGACCAACAGGAAAATGAGTGTATATATTTAATCATTACACTCCTCATCAGGTGGAGGATTACTTTTATAAAGGTAATTTAATATCAGTATCCAGTTTTATGAAAGAATACATTCAAAAGTGTTTTTCACATCTTTCTCCTTCAGTAATGTTCTGAAAATGTAGAAAATGCAGATGTGGCATCGGAAAACACAACACTTTAAATGAATGTCCTTTTATTGACACAGCAGTAGAGGAAACCCACTGCTCAACACTGTGTGAACGGCCGGGATAGCAGGTCATGCACAACCACACATTCCACACTGACAGTAAGCACTAACACTGCACAACCTCCCTACCAGCAGGGTCTCGTGGCTGGCTGCCATCCTCCAGCCGGGCTCCTTCTTCAGCCTCATTGCGTCATCTTTACTGCTGTCCTCAGCAGCCAGTCTTTGCAGCATTTCTCCTTTTTCACAATCCTCAACCAGGCTCAGTCTTCTCCTCCATTTCACCACTGGGATTGCTATTCCCCGCCAGTCTGCTAGGGGGCAATCCCACTGCTGACACCACTGTGTCAGTGTGGAAAAAGAAAATAAAGGAAGCATAGCGCTTCAAATGCAGTACCCTGTGGTGCTTGGTGCTCACCGCTCCTCATGGCCACACCTTCCGCGTGTCTACAGATGAATGAGCCGGTAGCAGGGCACTATGATACAATACAATGAGACCTAAACAACACTTGAGCTGAACCAGAACTAGTGCGAAAGTGCAAGTGCTCTTGTACTGCAAGTATTCTTGGAGCGAGAGAGGAAAAATGCGAGACTTCCCTCCTCAGGTTCTGTACATTCTGGTCTGGACAATGCCCCCTAACATGCACATTCACCTTATATACAAATATGTTGACAGACACCTATGTGAATGTTTGTAGATACGAATATCATTGACAAACTGGGACTATTAGAAAAAGGCTTTCAGTTTGTGCATTAAATGTCAAAAGTCAGTCAATATATATAAAAACGAACACCTCTATGATGCCTCCTTATGGAATTCTAGTAGTTTGTTAGTGCTAAGCTAACAGCGATTAGAATTTTTTAGCATTTCTAGATCATACACAGACATGCCTAACATTCCTTGTTTTACCATGAAGCCTGTGACAGACATACACTATATTTCCAAAAGTATTCGCTCGTCTGCCTTCACACGCATATGAACTTGAGTGACATCCCATTCTTAATCCATATGATGTTGGCCCACCCTTTGCAGCTATAACAGCTTCAACTCTTCTGAGAAGGCTTTCCACAAGGTTTAGGAGTGTATTTATGGGAATTTTTGACCATTCTTCCAGAAGTGTATTTGTGAGGTCAGACAGTGATGTTGGACGAGAAGACCTGGCTCGCAGTCTCCACTCTAATTCATCCCAAAGGTGCTCTATTGGGTTGAGGTCAGGACTCTGTGCAGGCCAGTCAAGTTCTTCTACATCAAACTCGTTCCTTTCACTGGAACTAAGGGGCCGAGCCCAACTCCTGAAGAACAACCCCACACCATAATCCCCCTCCACCAAACTTTACACTTGACACAATGCAGTCAGACAAGTACCGTTCTCCTGGCAACCGCCAAACCCAGACTCGTCCATCGGATTGCCAGACAGAGAAGCGTGATTCGTCACTCCAGAGAACACGTCTCTACTGCTGTAGAGTCCAGTGGCGGCGCTTTACACCACTGCATTCGACACTTTGTATTGCGCTTGGTGACATAAGGCTTAGATGCAGCTGCTCGGCCGTGGAAACCCATTCCATGAAGCTCTCTACGCTGTTCTTGAGCTAATCTGAAGGCCACATGAAGTTTGGAGGTCTGTAGCGATTGACTCTGCAGAAAGTTGGCGACCTCTGCGCACTATGCGCCTCAGCATCCGCTGACCCTGCTCTGTCATTTTACGTGGCCGACCACTTCGTGCCTGAGTTGCTGTCGTTCCCAATCGCTTCCACTTTGTTATAATACCACTGACAGTTGACTGTGGAATATTTAGTAGTGAGGAAATTTCACGACTGGACTTGCTGCACAGGTAGCATCCAATCACGGTACCACGCTGGAATTCACTGAGCTCCTGAGAGCGACTCATTCTTTCACAAATGTGTGTAGAAGCAGTCTGCATGCCTAGGTGCTTGGTTTTATACACCTGTGGCCATGGAAGTGATTAGAACACCTGAATTTAATGATTTGGATCATATCAATCAAGATTAGAACATATGTCACTGTCAAAAAAAAGTACTTTCAAAATGGCAACTTTACAGAAAAATGTTCTTAACTTTAAGTGTAAGTCAGTTTAAAAAGATTTTCTCTTTCTTATCAGCTCCTGAAGTCCTAACCAATGGGAGAGCTCACTTAGC